ACTTTATGATGATTTCTCGGAGGGAGAACATGAGTTATTGCAAGATAAATCGATTGGTTCTTGGAGAACTTGCATAAAAGGAGAGGGGCAAATATTCAATGGGGCCGATGAATTTCGAAAGAGTGTTAAGAAGTACGTGATTGCTAATAGCCGGTCCTTTAAATATAAGAAAAATGACAAGCAGAAGGTCATCGTTTGTTGTAGTGATGCGGATTGTGAATGGAGAATATATGCATCATTATACACAGGTGATCAGTTGTTTGCTATCCGGAAATGCAATCTCGTCCATACTTGTGGAGTGTCCAATCTTCGGACAAGGGGCATCCGAAAGCGGACTCTAATTGGGTATCAAGTACAATCAAAGACAAATTGCGAGATGAGCCGAGTTACAGGCCTTGCACGATATTGAAAGATCTTCACAGGGACTACGGGTTGGAGTTGTCTTACAAAAAGGCATGGTTAGGGAAGGAAATTGCCATGCAAGATATTCATGGAGTAGACCGGGGCTCTTACGATAGGTTGAGATGGTATTGTAGCGCAGTGCGTGAGACAAACCCCGGAAGCATTGTCGACTGTGACATTGACTCTTTCGAGAACAAGTTTCGTCGACTGTTCATTTGCTTTCATGCATGCCTCGTTGGTTTTTTAACCGGTTGTCGACTCTTAATATTTCTTGATGGCACTCACATAAAAAGTAAATACAAAGGTTGTACTTAAATCAATAAAAATTAAAATGTACTTCGTGACTTTATAAATAAATTATATTAAGGATAATCGACATGTTTACTAAAAACTTAGGATTAATTTTTTAATTAACCATATGTACTCGGAATTTCACTAATTTAATTTTGTGCTTAAAATATTAAATTTAAGTAATTGGATTGAATTCTTGAAACTTAGAATTATATTTTACTTGTTGGCTATAAACGCAAGTGGTACTAAATTCGGTGTTATTACGTGTTCCTTACAAGTGGTACTAAAGACCCGATAATTGGTACTAAAGCACTATAAAACTAGTACTACCTTTCTCTATGGCTGGTACTACTTGTTGGAAACGTTGACCACAATTGAAATAATCCATATTGGTCGACCAAAAGTAGGTACTAATTGTTCAAAAACCGGTACTGCTTAGAATAAGATGCGGTACTATGTATTCCAAAACAGGTACTATTATAGGAATTGTTATTTCCTTCATGTTAAATCATTTTACGATTTAACTGAAATAAAAATATTTGAAATCTCGTATAAACGTCAATTGCGTACGAAATTCGGTGTTTTTACGAGTTCCTTACATGTGGTACTAAAGACCCGATAATTGGTACTAAGGCAGTGTAAAACTGGTATTACCTTTCTATATGGCTGGTACTACTTTTTGGAAATGTTGACCACAATTGAAATAATCAATCTTTGTTGACCAAAAGCAGGTACTATTGGATCGAAAACTGGTACCGCGTAGAAGAAGAAGTGGTATTGTGTCTTCCAAAACAGGTACTATAATAGGAATCGTGATTAGACAATCCTTCATGTCTACCTTGTCACGTGGATCGTGTACGCGTAATCCGGACGAAAAATATCAGAAGTTAAAACATATATGTACAAATTGGAGTAGTCATGTATGATGATCCTATGAGATGAAGGGTGTCTTTCAACGAAATGAAGTATAGTAGTAGTGTTTTCTTATTACTACCTATATGTTTTAACTTATT